CCTTGAGGCACACCCTCTTCCTGTTCAAAAACATCTGACAAAACAGAGCCAATCCTTACTTGAAAAGTTCTAGTATTCAAGAAATTCTGAATGATGAAAATTGGTAGGTAGGTTGCCGCGCAAGCCACTCTCGTGAAGATCCGAAGTATACCGTATCTCCATGCCTTATCATAAGCTTTCTCAATGTCAAAGAATATTGAGACAAGGTGACTTCTTCTGACAAAAGCTTTTCGAATGGATGTCTCTAAAAGGAGCATATTATCTACGGTTGTTCTCCCCTTTCGAAAACCGCTTTGATAAGGCGATATAATATTATTCTTTTCCAAGAAGTAGACTAGGCGGCTGTTTACCATCTTTTCAAACAGTTTGCAAACACAACTGGTAAGGGCAATTGGCCGATAGTTGGAGGGATTTCTTGGATCTTTCCCTGGCTTAGCAATAGGAATGACAACAGCTCTCCTCCATGCACTGGGGAAGGAACGCTCCTTCCACACTCTATATGTAAAGAGTGAGAAGGGCAGTCAGTGACTTATAGATGCTTTAGCATTTCATAATACACGCCATCCAGACCCAGACAAGACCTATGAGCCTGTAACAAAGCTCTCTTTAACTCTAGCACAGTAAAGTCTCTATTATAAGGCTCAAAGTTGGAAGAGTTGAAAGCGATGGGATTTCTCTCAGAGCGCTGCTTGATAGAAAGAAATGCAGGTGAGTAATTTCTGCTGGAAGAAAGGGGCAGCAAATGTCTCACCAATAGTATTCGCAATTTCTTCTATGGAGCTAATCACTCGGCCATCTTTTTCCAGAAAGGAAAGTGAGTGGTCTTTATATATTCCGCATGCTTTTCGAACTCTTTCCCAAACCCGCTTACTAGGCGTAGAGGATGTTATTGATGACACACATATGAAATCCAGGAATCCCTCTGGCTCTGCCTTCTTACTTTTCGTGCATTTGCTTTGGCTCTTTTAAATGCTATGAGGTTTTCGCAGAGTAGGATATCTACGAAAAATACCCCATGCTTTTTTCTGTTTTTTCAGTGTTTCATGACAGCCATGATTCCACCATGGTTTCGTATATTTTAGTATTTTTCCTGATGTTCTAGGAATGAAAAGCATAGTTGCCTGAATAATAGAATTAGTAACAGCTTCAACAGCATCATCAACATGCACATCTTCTAGCATTTCATCTGTCAGCTCTGCAAAAGGAAGAGAAAAGTTCCCAGTCTGCACTGTCCAGTATAAACCGAGGGAGTCTCAACATGGGGTTTACTCCTCTTCGTGCAAGAGACACAAAAATGGGATAATGATCGCTATAGTAAAGATCATTTCCAACACTAAAAGTGCAAAATGGCAACAGAGATGGTGAACAGATGGCAAGGTCAAGAGCGTGGAATGTCCTTGAAGGCTCATGGAAGTAAGTATCCTGCCCATTATTCAGGAGACAAAGGCTATAATCTTCGATCATCTGCTCTATTTGTCTTCCTCGGCAATTTGTATCTTTACTACTCCAGAGCAGACTATGGCCGTTAAAATCTCCTATTATGATAAAGGGCTCAGGCAGTTGCTCTATAAGATCATTTAAATCTTGCTGATCAATGTGCTCATTTGGAGGCAAATACAGAGAAACAAATGAAACAACAATATAAAAATTTGTTTGAGTAGCGACAACTTGGAGGGATGTCGTCAAAGAAACTACATTTGAGGGATAATCCAGTGAGGTGAGGTGAGGAGACGTACACCTCCACTGGCACGCTCATCTGCAAGGTTATCCTTCCTGACGAAAAAAAACCTCCAAAGTTTTGCATGTTGTTCTGGTTTCAGATTTGTTTTCTGTATAGCTAAGCACACAGGATGATACGCGTTTATTATAGATTTAATGTCAAGCAAATTTCGGTGGAAACCGCGACAGTTCCATGAGATGAAGGTGGCCATTATGAATGGTTTTTGTTCTTTATGTGCTGTTCCTTTGTTTTTCGTGGAAGTAGATGCCTGGGAACTTCTAGACCCTCTTCTACTTCCATACTGTCTGAATCCACAGATTCAGAAATCATTCCATTCCATCAAGAGAGCTATTGCTGGAACTTCTATTTTTATTTGATATTTTTTTAGTTGCAGTTTTGGGTTTACTTTGAATGATTTTTTTTTTTTTTTTTTTTTTTTTTTTTTTTTTTTTTTTTTAATTAAATGAGTTGAGTTTTCCTTTTTCTTGGTGGATATAGTCGGTTGGGTTTTATTTGGTACAGTCTGCGTGCCTATTGCTGTTTGGGTGGCAATGGTACGTGTTGTTTTAACGTAATTGGCATATGATTTGTTTGATTGGAGCTGTGTGCTTTGAACTAGTTTTCTGGCTTCAGCATACGAGATGTTCCTAGTAACTTTTGCAGTCTGCACTTCTTTTTCTGATTTCCATTTTGGGCACAGGCATGAATATGCTGGGTGCTCACCCTTGCAAATTATATACAAAGGTGCAGCAGTACAATTTTCAGAATTGTGGCCAATCTGTGAGCATCGGGCGCATGTGAGGCTGCTACGACAAGACATCTTAGAATGGCCGAAACGCTGGCATTGGAAGCATCGCATAGGGTTTGGAATATAAGGTCTTACAGGACAATTTAAGTATCCAGCCTTAATATTCTTGGGCAGATCAGGCGTGTTGAAGGTAAGGATCACGTGTTTTGTATCGATCAACTTACCTTCCTTTCGCATCTTGATCCGCCTAGCACCACAGACATTTTGGTCAGCTAACTTGGAGACGAACTCTTCTTCTGAGACACACAGAATTCGATCTCCGGGATCACACCTCTACAAGAATTAAGTGTTTTGTGTGCTGACACAGTTATAGATACTTCTCCAAGTTTGGTTTGTTGAGAAAGAGAAGCAGACTGGGTGGCCGATACAGTCTCCTGATCGCAGACGCTTTATGTTCCTTGGCTCACCTATACATGAATGCATATATTTGCTTATGAGAAAAGGAGACATCTTTTACAGTTCACTAGAAGGACTAGAGACAACAAGGAAGTGTGGATTTTCAGTAGTTTCTTTGGCATTTGCATTGGTATAGATCTTCTTGCTAATGATTTTGTCAAGAATTTCTATATCTTTGGCATTTGCATCAATACGGATCTTCTTGTTGATGGATTTGTCGATAATTTCGATATCTTGGTTGGTTTCATTTGACTCGGGTTTTTTAAGGATAAAGAGAGGAACCAGGATTGAAAGAGAAAAAATTCGGGTCCGATGGCCCCGCCCACCACGGAGCCCAACAAGGAAACACAGATTCCTGTGTTAGGGCTAGCCGGACCTATACGCAAACTGAAGCCCCACAGTCGGCTTGCTCGAAAGCAGGTACTCCCAAGAGCTTATCTCCAAGCCACTGACCACAAGGACTAGTGACCAGCCGATTGACACCCGTGAGGACGACTAAGGTGCCTCCCTTTTAGCTGAAGCAGAGGCCAAAGCAGTGTGTTAGGGACAGTACCTCGTCCCTCAACTACCAGGACCCTCCTTTCTAGCCACACAGGTCTCCATGCACGGCAAACAAGTGGGCAGTTTTCTCACCACTCGAAAACTAGAGACAAGGGCTGCTCCAGTCTTCTCGTGATGAGCCCCAAACTCCGTAGAGAGAAACCACGAGGGAGAAGGGAAGGGAAAAAGTTCCAGCCAAGAGGAGATGAGATGGAAAAGAGGACAGATCACTGGGGCTCCAGGATCGTGACACCCGTCTCATTAAGAAGATGCTCCCCTGAAGGGCTAGGGTACCTCGGGATTGCCACACCCATACTCACAAAAGTGAGCCCCCTGAGGGGTTAAGATACTTGAATTCTAAAGGTATTTAAAAAGAATTGGATTGGAATTAACATCCTTCCATAAGGAAAATTTATTTTTGTGAACAAGAAAATCTTCAAAAAAATCTAATTCACCAAATGAAGAAGCTTTAACGATAATTTTTGCACAGAAGGTAAAATTGTGACTAAGTGTCTGACTATGATCAGCAATCAAAGATCTTTTTTATTTCTCTTTTTCTACCATAACATTTGCATTCTTTTGCATAACATTTCATGGCTGATATTTGGCAAATCACACCGCGACAATATGCTACAAATACCTCAAGAATTAAAACCTGACGTGGGATCTTTACAATAAACTTTACTGACAGGTGAGAAAGTTGAACTTCTGGAGAATCTAAGGAATTTTGTAACTGATAGGAGATGCCACAATAACAAAGTTATTTCTAATAGCAGGATGTCTTTTTTGAAAACAATATAAACTTTTTGTAAAGACTGTAATCAATGACTATGGAAGAAAATCCTCTGTCAATGGCAACTGATTTCAAATAATCGAGTTCATGAAAAACCAATTCTGAAGAGCAGACATAGGAAATAGGATATACATAAAAGCAAAAAGAAGTCTTTTTATTATTATTATTAAGCAAGTTCACATAATTTAGTATGGGGAGGTAAATAAATAGAAAAAGGTTCACGGTAAACAGGAATGCTGAAATCAAATTTTTTGCTGATAATTAAAGTACTGAGCAAATAAAAGAAATTATCCCATTCAATTTCAAAAGTGAACTAATTAGCTGAATTAAATCAATTTGTAATAGATAAAATTTTGGTTAAATATTCTTTATTACTGTCAAAAAGCTTGAATGTGTCATCAACATAACAAATTTATGGCCAAAAAGATAGTTTTTCAAACTGTCTGACCAAAATAGTGCAAGTATTTGTAAGCAAGTATTGAAGCAAACAAAAATTTCAACTTTTTCCCATATGCAGATAATATTTCAGATAGCAAGTTGAGATGACTTGCACTCAATGGCACCACTCATGATCTGCGAACTTTGGTGGAACTGATTAAAAAATTCTGAATTAAATGCTTTTTCACAAATGAATGGCTAATCTGTAGACAAATGCATGTGTATACAAGACAACACAGAAATGCAATACAGTTTACAAAAGCATATGGCTATGGCTGCAAAATTAATATTGATCTTAAACATACTTCTTCATCAGATGTGTCTTCAGCATATTCATCAATTTTTAGAGTCTCTGTCTTATGGTCTTCAACATTGCAATTTTCATCATATTTTTCGGATTTGCTATCCTGAAAGAGGAATAAAAAATTAAGTAAATATGACTTTTTTTTGTAATGATGGTTTATAATAAAAATGCAAAACATCATTATTATACTTTTACCTTTTAAAATTAAAGCCAGAACAATCCAATAAAAGATAAGATAAATTAACTTTAAAGAATGCTACATGATACACCTTACATTAACAAAGGGAGAAAATTATCCTCTTAGAAATGCAGCAGTCACTACTTAATATGATTAAAGTCAATTCTATCATTTGCATAACATGGACAGATCGGAGTAATATAATTTGTTACTGTATCAAACAGCTTAACATTCATTATAATGATAACTTATTTTGGTTTTTTGTTATTAGTATGAAAATTTGGATCACAAAAAATGTCTTTTTCTTTTAAACTCTGTCATTGGTAGATTGGGAGATGCAAAATTGTGAATTCTTAATCTTTCCCTGATAAGAGTTAGAAATTCTGTTTTTCTAAAACTGCCTTTTTACAAATGTAAGATGACACATGTAAGATCTTTCAGATGCAGAATCACACAACAATCTAGCACTAAATGTGGAATTACTTCCGATAAATCGGGCTCTCAATGTTTGGTGGTAATAACTTTGAAAAGAGGAATTACTTTAGTCAGTGTTTTGAGAAACAGCAAGTAAACTTTTTTTTTTTACTTGCCTTGTATTCTGTGCATTTTTGTTGCTTTTCTTTTCTTTCATGTTTGATGGGTCATACAGGCTCTCTAAATGTGACTGAGATTTGCAAATATTGCATTTAAGCCTTTTTGCCTTACAAAATGGTTTTCTGCAACCTTTCTTAAACAGCATTTACATTTGAATTGCTCCTATAACATTTTCTGTTTCCCTTTACAACTAAAATTACAGTCTTTTGAGGGATGAGACTTAGAATAAAAATCACACTTATATTTTCAACTGATGTATTAAGCATTGCTGCTGAAGACATTTTCTTTTTGACTGGAACTAAATTTCTATAATTGTCGGTATTTCTTTAGCTGTTACTTGGAAATATTTAGTTAAGACCAAGATTTAAGGACATTTCACATGCTTCTACTCCTTTCTGTAGAAATGACAATAAATCTGACACTGTTGACTCTCTGCAGGAACTTCTTTCTCCATTAAACTGTAAGACTAAATCTTATGATATACAGTTATATAAAATGGGCAGTAGTAGATTATTATATGAATTTAAATTAATATTTTATGTTTCTAAGCTTCTAAGTTAAACCATTATTTCAGATAATTTTCTTAAAATGGATACACCACTTCAACAACATACAGGTTCCAAGGACAGGAGAATGTTCATAAGTGCACTAATATTTCTTCTTTTCCAAATCAGTTAGTTTAAATTCCGATGTTTTTTTTTACAATTTTCTCCTGTAACGATAATCCACTCGCTTATGCAGCCAGTGAGTAGCAATCTTAAAAATTTAAATTTCTCAACATCTTGAAGTATATTTTTGTTTATGAATGGCCATGTTATATGGAGCCCAAAATCTGCTAAATTTACATAAATCACCACTAAAGATTTCTAAACTAAAAACAATTCAGAATTATAATTAATTTGGATTTTCAGAAACTTGTGAAATTGTTTTGGTTTTAACCGCATTTTGAATGTATCTAGTAACTTAGAAGCTATAGTTAGATTAACAATTTAATCTAACGATAGCTTTGTTGCATTCTAAAGAATATTATACTTTCATTTATAATTCTTGCATAGTGCTTTGTGCATTAATAACTTCATTTAATTAACAAACTTCACTCTCAATTAACACCACAAGTGATTCTTGCAACAGCTCTCCATCTGAATTTTCATTTTGTAATTCGTCTTTACCAACACATTAAATTAAATTCTGAAATTCCAACTTACAGCCATTTTAAATTATTCAGTAAAAAAACATTACGAGGAACCAGAGCAGGTAATAAACATAAAAATAAACTTCTTTCAACAATAGATACAAAAAAGTTAAACAATAATATAAATAATTACTTTCTTACTGATAATTTCACTAAAAATATAATTACTTGGTTGCATACTTGTAAGCACAATTTCTTAAAATTACTTATAAAATTTGTAAAACAGCATTTTACAGGGCACAATATTATCAAAGATCTTATTATTGACTTTTGCAACTATAAGTTCTCTACAAATAACAAATACAATAAATATTACTGCAAAATCAATTTCCTTCATCCTAACTATGATCATATTCAGTTTAGCAAAATTTTCAGAAAAAGTCAAAAACTTTTTCCAGCTACCAAAGTACAAATCTCACCAGCTTTCAAGTATCAAAAACCTCTTAGTAAATTGCTAATTAACCACCATGAATTAGCTACTACAGCCCATTGATACTGTAAAGAGCTTCAATACAAAGATTTCATAGATAAATTTCAACATATTATAACAGGCAATTTAGCAATAGTTCAAAACCAACATTTAAGAATTTTAATGGAAAAAGGTACCAAATTTAGACCAGTACTAAAAATTAACAAACATCACAGTTTTAAAAGTTTCATAAAAAATATAGACGAATTTATAGTTAAAACTAGTTTCAAATTAAATATTCCAAATTCTACCTTTATGGCATGGAAACATGCAGTATTAGAAGAATTCAAGCAAAAAATTCGAAGAATTGAATTTAATAGCAATTTACAGTGGAATATTCTCGTACCTCTTTTACAGGATTTAAAACAAAAGTTCATAATTACCAAAATTGACAAAACCAATAACTTTAGCATAATATGAAAATTTTTTTATGTCTCATTAATTAATACTGAACTCAATAATGCCATTACTTACAAACTCACCAATCTACAAGAAAACGTTATCGCAAAAAAGCTAAAAGCATTTCATAAGAAACTACAAATTTCACAACCATCTAACTACAATAGATTAGAAAATCTATATGCTCTCCCAAAATTTCATAAATCACCACTCAAATTTAGATTTATTGCTAATGGTACAAATAATTATAAAAAGAATACAGATTACATATTTGCAATTATACTTAAAAAAATCTGTAATTTAATCCAACATCTCGTTAACAAACAACACAATTATACTAGTTGGATTATTTATAATAATGCTCCAGTTCTCAGCAGTTTTAAAAGTTTAACAATCAAGAACATTAACTGCTATGATTTTGAAAACCTTTATACTTCTCTACCATTAGAAGAAATTTTTACTAGTTTAATGCAACTCCCACAACTTTTTCCTGACATACTTGACATCCTTTGTATTGAAAGATGGAATACTTATCTGAATTGTGCATTATTTAATAACTACATTAAATTCAATAATAAGATCTTTCAGCAAGTTAGAGGAATTCCTATGGGAGCAAACAGTTTCTATGCAAATTTGTAACCTATTCTTTTTTACTTTTGAATATAAATTCCAACTAAGTTTAAATAAAATGAATTAAAGCTATTTGCTCATACTTTTAGATACATAGATGATATTATAACTTTCAATAATAATTCTACTTTTGAGCAATTCAAAATTTACCCAAATAGTTTAACACTTAATAAAACGAATACTAATCAAGATAATATTGAATTCCTAGACCTGCAAATTATTAAACACAGCAAAATTAAATTATTTGATAAAAGAAGGAATTTCCATTTTCCTACTATTAAACTAATTAATTGGAACTCTAATATCTCTAGAAAAGTAATAGAAAACATGTTTCATAGCCAAATTATCAAAATAAAAAATATATATACTGAAATAGACGATTTAAAGGAAGAAATAATAAAGCTAATTAATGTACAAGTTGATAACCAAGTACCACCAAAATTTATCAATTTATATATTAAAAAGGCATGCCTTGACTTTACTTTATAATTTTTTGACTCTTTTGGATATGATAACATTACCTTAAACCTTAGCTGGAGGGTAATGAAGGATATAAAAGAGTAGAGAAATTATTCTAAATTTGTATTGTAAATATTTTGTAAATATGTATATATAATCAATACTGGATTCTTTCCTTTTACTAATAAAGGGCCAACTCTTTTCAAAAGTCTCAATTATAGCCCGAATTAAGTGAAGATTTTAATCTTCTTCTAATTTTCCATACTTTAGCCAGTATTTAGTAAGTTTTGATATACCAATTGAAATCAAGTTCATTAAACTTTTCATATTTTCTTTCATTAAATTTAAGTTTTAATTAACTTCCTAAAGGAATTTTTGAGAAATTTCTAGGAATTTTTTAGAGGTTTTTTAAGGACTTCATTTCAAAAAAATTTGGGGAAATTTTACTTTAAAACTTTAATATTGAAACATTTTCTTAATTACTTTAATTTTTTGCAATTTTCACACAAAAAAATTTTTCACTTAATTTTTTTAAACAATTTTTACACAATTTTTCAACAGAACACACATTTCACATTACAAACAGTTTACATTTTTTTCACAATACCACTTCACTTTATTTTCCTTCAAGCAAACTTACATCTCTTGATTGGCTCAGTTACTTAACTCCCTAAATAATAGATAATTACTACCTTTAGGACTTTTAATTTTTAATTTAATTTAATTTAATTTTTAATATTAATGTTTACAAAAAATTTTTTACTATAACAAAGATAGCAGCTTGACACTCAACTTTACCTACATAAGCACAATCTATATAATTTGAAGAACACACTTACTACTCTTTCACAACACTTTTGCATACCCCAACACTCATATAGTAGGTAAGTTAGAATTAGTTAAATTAAAATTTCTAAATTTTTTATGTAGTATCTAAACATTTTATAAATATGAAATTATATTTTTAAATATATATTTGTTTTTTTAAAAATTGTGAATTAGTTCTTATTGTTTTCCTATTGGTTTATATGGATTATGTCTAGTTCTTTTTTAGTTTCTTTTATTGATATGCATATTCGTGTAGGGGAGGTTCTGTAGACAAGGGTTTCTCTAAAATACATTGGTTTCTAGATTATTTTTTATTATTTTTTTATAAAAAATTAATTTTTTTTAAGAAAAAGT